TTGCAGAGTGGCCCCATTTACTTTAATGGGTCATGTTTGGCAGGCGACAGCACCCACCAAAAGCAATAGGGGGTTTAATTCCTGCTGCGGCATGTGTACACCTTTTGGCTGCTGCCTCAGCAACTAAATGGAGTAGGGACTGGGGGTGGTAAAACCACAACTCAACCACGCACCCCCAAATTTACATGTGAAGAAGCCCTAAGGGTGCTATTGCTGAATGCAACTAAAGGCTCATTCACAAGTGTAGCAGGCACTGCTGCTTCTCTGAAAAGTGTATTTGACAGGTGGTGAGGAGGCGATATGTTGCCTCCTCACCACCTGACTTAAACCCATGATTGCCGTGCAGTGCTTGCTACGTGGTAGTACAGCTATTATAACCATATATGTGTAACTTTTCTATGAACAGAATAAAACAAATCAAACCAAAATATAGAAAATAATGTCCAAAAGTCCCACCGTGTCCAAAAAAAAACAAAAATAAATAAAAATAAAAATAAAACAAAAAAAAGTCCCACAAAAAAATAATCCTCACAAGTGTAAACTCAAAACACTTAAACTTTTTCTTCTTCTTGCATCACCACAAACCTTCTTAATACCCGCAGATCCTGATATTCATGCACCTCAAAAAGAAAAAGAACTCGACATAGTGTCATACCTTAAATAATGTAAACACACGTGCCACTATATGTGCCGCATGCAAAATCAATGTGTATCCTCCAACCAAGTGTCAGAACACATAAGAGTGAAAACACATTCCCATAGAATATGTCATATAATGTGTGAGAAACCACTTCACAGATAAACTGCCAGTGTATCACACTACACCCTATGTATATGTAAAGTGGAAGCCAACACCCAAAACACCACTCTCCAACTCTAATAAGGATGGGTAATTACCCTATAGAAGAATCAGCAGGGCAGATTAACCACTCAGGGTTACAATCTCCTCTCATTGATTTTCTCCAACGGTTAGGGTCACCTCCTCCACTTTCCTCCAGAAAACCAGTCAAAATAAAAGGTATTCTTCTTTATTAATAACTCACATAACATTCCGTGGTAACAGCTCCTCACATAATATTCCGTGGTAACCGCTCCTCCTCACAAGCAGTGTGTACATGGACAGGTTCAGGGAAACATAAACCGCATGTTCCCACTTCCAAGATGGCCGCGATCGCACTTCCGGTCAACGTCGATGCGTCTGACGTCACGTGTCTCTGACGCGTTTCGTCACTTCCTTTGACTTTTTCAGAGAAGGATTTTTTGAGGATTATTTTTTTGTGGGACTTTTTTTGTTTTATTTTTATTTTTTATTTATTTTTGTTTTTTGGACACGGTGGGACTTTTGGACATTATTTTCTATATTTTGGTTTGATTTGTTTTATTCTATTCATAGAAAAGTTACACATATATGGTTTCACTGGCCTTCAAGGGTGAAGGTATACCACTTTTCTGGGTTATTATAGGTTTAAGTGTTGTGATATTTAAGTATAAGTACAGCTATTATAGGTTTAAATCAGGCGTCAGGAGGCAACACTGTGCCTGGTGATCTTTAAATTTTCCCATGTTCAGGGTAGATCTCCACCTCTTTAAGGTTGCCTACCCCTGCTATAAGACAAGCAGAAAGAAGGAAGTTTTTTTTACTGCTCAAACGTTTTTTGAAAGAAGGGGTAAGAACAGGCTGTTTACTAGCAATTATTGCAAAATCTCCGAGACCTGCTACATATATATAGATATATATCTATATATATCGGCGTTGGCGATAACATGGTCACAGATACTCCATCAATATCGCAGAGGTTTAGATGGTATTGTGAGGATCTCTATAGTACTAAAATGGTAGATGACAATCAAGAATCTAAGGACTGGTTAGATAAACATTATACTACCTAGATTGGCATAAGAAGATAGAGATTTTCTGAATGCTCCTATATCCCTAGAAGAATTACAGATAGCAGTCTTAAAGTGTTACTAAACCCACAACCGTAAAATCAGTCTGTATATGCAGTAAAGCATGCTTGTTATACTCACTGTAGAACCTAAGGGGTTAATCCTCTGCATTGTGTAAAAAGGCGGTTTGATCCTGACTTCTCTAATCCTCCCCTTCTTTCAGTGTCCCTCTCATCTTCTGAAAAGACATATCGTGTGGAGTCAATCTGCACATGCTCAGTTTAGTGTGTATTGCTAGAGAGGTTTTTTTTTTTTTTTTTTTTCTTGGGATAGTGCATGTGATCAGCACTGGGATAATCAGCACTGTCCAGACAGAGGTCAAGAGTTCTGCAGACTCATATAGCAAAATGAAAACAACTCCTACAAGCTTTAACCAGTGCTCTGCTGGACATTGATAGAAGTCACAAGACTGCTCTAACTGCAGATGAGAAAAGGTATTTAGCCGTTTTATATTTACTAAAATAATTGCATTTCTATTTTCTGTGTGCTGTGACCAGTTATAATGAATGCAGGATCCTGGGTTTAGTAATACTTTAAGCTTTGCTAATTCAAAAGCTCCTGGAAGTGATGGGTTACCCATTGAGATTTGATAAAACTTTTGGTGAGATACTTCTTTCAGAATTGCTTTTGGTAATTAATGAAGCTAAGGTTCTGGGAAGGCTCCCCCTATGTATGCACAAAGCAATAATGGTGGTGTTATTAAAACCTGGAAAGAATCCGACTTTGCCAGACTCCTATAGACCAATATCATTATTGACGGCTGATCTTAAAATATTGGCCAAAGTATTGTCTATCTGCTTGTCTAAGGTTATAATGAAATTAGTGCATCTGGATCAGTCGGGGTTTATCCCTAAGAGATCGACTGCAGTAAATATTCGCAGAGTCTATCTGAATATTCAAACCCCCTCCAATAATATGGGCCAAATGGATATAATGTCTTTAGATGCTGCTAAGACATTTGGTAGTGTAAAGTGGCTTTATTTATGGAGTGTTTTGAAGAAATTTAACATAGGGGAAGAATTCATCTCATGGGTAAAATTGCTATATTAATATATTAATTAGAGGTACCAGACAGGGATGTCTATTATCCCCTCCTATTTGCCCTGGCACTGAAACTGTTGGCTGTATCCATACGTGAGGATGGTCAGGTGGTGGGACTCAGCAGAGGTGAACGTGTGGACAAAATAGCATTACACGCAGATGATGCTCTGTTGTTTCTTGGAGATATGACTGGATCAATAGGGCATCCGATGTGCCTTATTAACTCCATTTTCAGGCTTTACCATAAATCGGAGTAAGTCTTATGTTGTTACCACTTGACCCCCTCCAAGGTCCTTTGCCATTAATAGCATCTCAGATAAAAGTGGTGGAAAAACTAGTATATTTAGGGATTACAATACATAAATATATTTACCAGTATGCTTGTTTGAATATAAATCCTCTCTTGATCAAACTTAAACAGAAGACTAATTAGTTGGTGCAAACTACTGCTCTCAGTAGTAAGGAGGGCAAACTTAATAAAGAAGCTCCATTGTGGCTACCTATGTCTACCTTAAACAAATGGAGATGATATTCCGGCTGTTGATATGCAAAAAATGTAGTCCAAGGATTAAATTACATACATTACAAGAGTCTAAGGAAATGGGTGGATTGACAGTCCCCGTCACCTTTTATACTACTTGGCAACATAGTTACAGCATTTGGCAGGATGGAAGGGGGACCTGTGGATACAGACTCTATTAATGGTACCAGGGATATTGAAATATCATTGGGTGGTGCATAGTCTGGAAGCAGAAGAATTTAGGAAAGATAAGCAATACCATACGTTGACTATGATTGCTAAGTTATGGAATAAGATCAAAGCATATTTTGAATATGTGGGATATACTGATTATACCTGCATATTCCAAAACTTTAACTATCCTGAATTAGTCAAATTACAAGGTTTTGATCAATGGGGGACATGGGGTTTGGAATATATTCCACAGTTATATCAGGGACAAGTCCTGTAGGACTTTCGTACCCTACAAGATGAGTTCAATTTACCAACCAAATGTTTTTACCAGTATTTACAGCTTAGACATGCTATACCAGCACAGTTAAGGTCTAAATAGTGGACTTATACCACACCTACAGTGTTAAATAAAGTTAGAATGGCAAGTTCGAAGAGGGGCAAATATCAGTAATTTATAGGGCATTATTGTAGAGAACCAAGGCAACAACATTAAAATGTAGAACACAATGGCAAGCTGAGATAGATGTTATGAGTGATGAGGAATGGTTGGATATACTCAACAGTGTGGAGAAGGTTTCTCTGTCAGAGTCACAGAAATTACTCATTTGTTCATCATTCATCAGTCGTATAGGACACCCCAGAAATAATGCACAGGATGTGGAGGTGTCCTTAATTGTTCAGATATTGGACACGGGTGATGGATATGATCAACAAGATATATAGGTTTAATATTGTGATGGACCCCAGGGTGTGTTTGTTGGGGTGTCTGGATAAAAGGTTGTTTTCAAATATGGTTGGTTGGCAGTTAGCCGACTATTGTTCCTGGCAAGGAGGTTGATTGTACAAAGCTGGATGTCCAAGACACCTCCAACTCATGTACAGTAGGTTAAAATGACAAATGACATGCTACAAGAAGAGCATATGGTATATCAAAACAGAGGTAATTTAGAGAAATATGTTAAAATGTGGAGTGATTGGCTTAATAATATGGAAGTAATGCCACATCAATTGTTAAGGGACAGGCTAATGTAAATAGATAATGGAATATTAGTATATAAAAAGTGGAGAAGTGGAGGTATAAGGAACCTTGAAACTATAAGAGGAAGATGGATAATCAGAGACTAGTGATATAATATCATATGTTGGTATGTATGATGTAAGGTATAAAAGGTGTTGTGATGTGTTTTAAAAAAAGTGGAAAAAAAACCTTTTGTATTCAATAAAGATTAATTAAAAAACAAAATAAAAAAAATCACAAGCACCAATTGTTTTAGGTTTCAACTTTATATGTATATTTGTTTTTTTTTCCTTTTCACAGCTCTGAACACAAGGCAGAACTGTCATTTCTGGTAGCTATGTCTGCTTAATTATGATATTTATTTTAATTCAAGGAAAATGCTCGGTAGTATCTAAAGTGGCATTGATGTTTGGACTGTTAGGGGTGTACAGTTACCGAGCTGCTATAGGACATGTTTTGTATCCATGGCAACAAAATACCAAAGAAATTACAAAGTAAGTATTCTTGAGGTATTTTTTTTTTTATTTAACTTCAAATTGTTGAAGTTAACTATATAAAGTAAAATAAAAAATTAGTTCAAACTATTTCTTTGTACATTAAGTTCAGACAAGTTCCCTTTAAGGTTTTGCACTTTTTACACTGCAGGGCAATATAGCTGTTTTACTGAGGTACACCTAATAATGCTGTTCCTACAGGTTTCAGTGAACCCTACAAGTAGTTACTGTTGATGGTTCTCACAGGTTTCAGTGAACCCTACAAGAAGTTACCATTGATGGTTCCCACAGGTTTCAGTGAACCCTACAAGTAGTTACTGTTGCTAGGGGGAATGGGTAAAGTTTGTCTTTAGCCATATGGTTACTGTTGGGTTTTCTGATTTGGTCAGCAAGTAATAAGATGTCCTACCATATCTGCTTCATAGTTGAGCGGTACTGAACCAGGTAATACAAGTGCTTCTGCCATGATTCAGTAGGATTTTTTCCCCTGCTTTTATACTTCTTAAGCTACACCAGGGGTATTGAATTGAAATTTAAGGAGGTTCACTTTGTAAAATTTTCTTCTAGCAGAGGTCTGAATGTCGTGTTCATGATTTGACTGAGATCCTAGTGTGCCGTGCATTCGTAAAGTATTTAGACCCCCTTCACTTTTTTTCAGTTTTGTTATGTTGTAGCCTAATAATTTTTTCTCTCATTAAACTACCTTCAGTACCCCATAATGACAAAGTGAAAACAGATTTTTAGAAATGTCTGTAAGTTTATTAAAAAGAAAAAACTGAAATATGACGTGCTTAAGTATTCAGACTCTTTATTCAGTGCTTTGTTGAAGCACCTTTAACCACTTGCCATCCGGCCGCTGTATATAAACGACGGGACGGTGGCAGTCCAGGGGCGGGTTGCCGTTCATAAACAGCGCCCGCATTTTCAAGCTGTGCACGCTTCCTGGGAGCTTGCAGCAGCGCAATCCGGTGCCCGCTGTGTCCTCCGAACACAGTGGAACACCGATCATCGTACGGGACCTCTGTGCAAGATCCCGATCATGTGTTCACTGATTGGCCAATCAGTGATCACATGAAGAGTGGTAAGCATGATGTCACTTCTGACATCATTGCTTAATACATGTGAAATCTGTGAATGATCACAGAGGTCACATGGTACAAGGCTATTCACAACAGCCTTGTACCATGTGACAAGCTGTGACCAATCACAGCTCACACAGCATTTTTCAATGGCTGCAAGAATGCAGCCAGAGAGGAGAAATGATTGCTTTTACATCCTTTATGGGTGTAAAAGCAATCCTTGTAAAAAAAAAAAAAAAAAAAAAAAAAAAAAAAATCTTCATTACCCCCACAAGTAGTACAGTGTCACCATGGTGACACTGTACTGCTAGGGTGACAGTATTTAAAAAAAAAACATAAACAATAATATAAAAATGTAAAAATAATTATAATTTTTGGTTATAAACTAGTTTGGTTTTTTTTTTTTACTAAAAAGAAAATGAATAAATTTTGGCCAAGATTTTTGATGAAATATTATTTATTTGCAAAAATTTTTAAGAAAAACACTTTTTTCCCCAAATTTTTGGACTTTTTCATTTATATAGCAAAAAAAAAATAAAAATCCCTGTGGTGAATAAATACCACCAAAATAAAGCTTTATCTGTCTCAAAAAATGCTAAACAATTCATAGGGATAAAGTGTTGCATGACTGCGCAATTGTCATTCAAAGTGTGATAGCGCTGAAAGCTGAAAATTGGCCTGGACAGGAAGGGGGTGAAAGTGTCCTCACCTGAATTGGTTAACAGCAGTCACAGCCTTGAGTCTTTTTGGGTATGAAGCAATAAGCTTTGCACACCTCAGATTGGGGATTTTCTGCCATTCTTCCTTGCAAATCCTGTCAAGCTCAATGAGGTTTGATGGGGACCGTCGGTGCACAGCCATTTTCTGGTCTCTCCAGAGATAATCAATAGGATTCAAGTCAAGGCTCTGATTGGGCTACTCTAGGACATTCACGAAGTTGACCGTAAGCTACTACTGTGTTGTCTTGTCTGTGTGCTTAGGATCATTGTCATGTTGAAAGGTGAACCTTTGTCCCAATCTAAGGTCCTGAGTGCTGTGGAACAGGTTTTCATTGAGGATATCTCTGTACTTTGCTCCATTCAGCATTCTCTAAACCTTGACCAGTTTCCCAGTCCCTGATGCTGAAAATCACCCCCACTGCATGATGCTGCCACCACCATGCTTCACTGTTGTGATGGTGTGCCTGGTTTCTTCCAGACATAACATTTAGAATTGAGGCCAAACAGTTCAATCTTGGTTTCATCAAACCAGAGAATATTGTTCCTCACAGTCTGAGAGTCCTTCAGGTGCTTTTTTGCAAACTCCAAATGGGCTTTAATTTTTTTTTTTTTGCACTGAGGAGAGGTTCCTGTCTAGCCACTCTGCCATAAAGCCCAGATCAGTGGAGGGCTGCAGTGATGGTTGTCCTTCTGGAACTTTGTCCCATCTCCACACAGGATCTCCGGAGCTCATTCAGAGTGACTATCGGGTTTTGGTCACCTCTCTTACTAAGGCCCTTGTCCCCCAACTGCCCAGTTTGGCTGGGTGACCAGCTCTTGGAAGAGTCCTGGTTGTGCCAAATTTCTTTTATTTGAGAATTATGGAGGCCACTGTGCCCTTGGGAACATTCGGTGCAGCAGAAATTTTTTGTAGTCTTCCCCAGATTTGTGCTTTGCAATAATCTTATCTCTGAGCACTGCAGGCAGTTCCTTTGACCTTATGGCTTTTGCTCTGATACAGTATGCATTGTCAGCTGTGAGGCGTTTTATAGAGAGGTGTGTGCCTTTTCATTCATGTCCAGTCGGTTTAATTTTCCACAGGTGGAGTCCAGTCAAGATGTAAAAACATCTCAGCAAGGATCAGGAGAAATGAGATGCACCTGAGCTAAATTTCAGTAGTTGTTGCAAAGCTTTCTTGTGGCCCCAGGACCTCACAAAAAAGCACTCGGTTTAATTTCCTTCCCACAAATGCACAATCTGCTCTCTTTCACCCATGCCGAATTCTGAGATCATCCACTGTTGAGAGGGAGCGGGACTGTGCATGGTAGGGAGCAGCTGAGTGCTCGTTTGGAGGTGCTGGGGTCGTGCATCCAATGGTGTGTATGCCCTGCCATATAGGCAGGATGGAGAGGGGAGTCCAAAAGGAAAAAGCAGCTTGAAAGTTAAGCATTATTTTACAAAAAGAAGCACTGCATGCTAGGGATGCTGTAATGCATAGGTGAGCTAACCCTTTAATGTCAATTGTCATACACAAGTACTGTACAGTATATAGAATTATGCACGTGAATCTAAAAATTTTGTTCACAATATGTAAATATGTAACACAATTTCATGTCCACACCATTACCATTTTAATAAGACATATGCTAACATGGTCATATCGTTGTAGCTTATACGTTGCAGTCCAGACGGCCATGCTAACTTTTTGTCTACATTATGTATTAGCAAACATTCTCCATATTTGTGAGGTCCACTTGGAACCATAGTGCACAGCTCTGTGGCTTTGGCACAGCCATAATGTAACCATATCCCCAATATTTCTATGCAAAGCACATAACTAGCTGCATATGTCAAGTAACGATTTTATCTCACTCTTAGGCAAGCCATAGATGATGCAATTTTCCTGAGGTCGCAGGAAAGAAAATCACTCAATTCCCCATTAATACAGTCAGTGTTAATGGGGGTATCACTCCCGCAGTGCTATTTTGTTCTGCCAGAGGAGAGCCTTCCCTGTCGGCAGAACACAATGATCACTGCTAACGGCTATAGCTGGTGGCGGTATTCAAATGCAAAAAATCAAATAGTCTGGTTGTACTGAAGTCAATTGATGGATCAACCAATTAACAGTACAACCAGCTTGCCCATAGATGGATTGAATCTTGGCCAGTCCCTGCTTAAAAAACACACAAATTAGCTTCAATTATATAAATTATCTGTTCAGAGAATTGGGCACACTTTTCTAGTTGTATATACAGTATGTTTGTAGTGTTTTATAAATATTCATTCTGTATATCATTGTTTTTAGGGGAATTACAGAAGCTCGTTTTGTGTACATATTTGTCCTTGGAATTCTTATCACTGGCATAAAGGACCTCTTGACATCACATGTTCTAAATGCAGATTCAAAAGCTAAAGCTGTTGGCTTATGGGAAATTTATAGTGGACTTATTTTGCTAGCAGCCCTTTTGTTTAGACCACACAACCTTGTAGTTCTGGTTTTCTGCCTGTTGATTCAGCTTATTTTCACTATGTTCATCTGGAAGATCTTGAAATACGATGCTGCTGAAATCACGATAATGCATTATTGGTTTGGACAGGCTTTTTTCTTCTTTCAGGTAAGTTGCTGTGTGTGTAACTGGAAAGAGAAATAGGCAGTTGTCTGGTTTTATTTTCTGCATACATCACTACTACATAAGAGGAGGAAGCTGTAGGTAGAGTTTTATTTGAAACTAACATATGTCAAGTAAATTTATTTGGGGAATAGTGTGAAGAGAATTAATTGGAAAGAGTTGCACTATTTTGACTATACAGGAAAACCCCCCACTAAAAACAAGTATGGGAATTCGTAATAAGGCAGAATGTTAGGCCACGGTCTGCTGCAGTGCTGAGATGGCACCAGATAAAACAGAGGCATAAAGCAATAGATGAGTGATATAAGAATGACTCTGTACTTCGCATTCTGTGAAACATTCACAGACTGTAAAACCATCAGTGCAGCCAGTGGGCTTCCACGCAGATTAACTTCACAGTATAATTCACTTTGATATGCATGTACTGCACACATTCTGGCAACTTCAGTATTGTTTTGTGTACTTTAGAATTAAACCTGCTGGGAGTCTAAGCTGTTAATTGGAAGCTGGCATTGGGTGGGTAAAATCCAGTAATCTGATAGATCCGGGACCTGCATTCTTGCACAGAAAATGGCTACCGTCTCTAGTGTTATTGGTGTAGTGGCATGTTAAAGCAATCATGAGTAAGATCTTTGGAGTCTTAGTATAGCATGTCAGTTAAAGGATAAGTTCACCTTTGGGAACATGTTACATGTTCCACCTGTTTTTAGGGAGGAACATGTAACATGTTCCCACTGCTGCAACAGCCACCCACTGCCCTCTCTTCCTGTGACAGCAGTACAGGGAGAGGTTCCCCATACCAGCTGTCACTTTTTGAAAACAGTGCGGCCATGTGGGGCTAAGCTCATTCGGCTGCATCATTCATTCACAGACCTCTGTGAATGAACTACAAGTACTGACATCCTTTGCAGATGTCAGTTTGTAGTTCTTAATAAACTACCCCGGTGCTGTTGAGAGCTGTGGTAGTTCATTTGAGTCTGCATGTCAGTGTAAAACTGTCTGCCTGTACAAGGTATGCGCAAACAGCTTACACTCACAGTGTGCTGGACTCCTGCATGACACCAGCAATCTGCTGATAGCAGAAAAAAAAATATAGTAAATGCACATTTTTTTACCTGCAAAAAAATGGGCATTTATTATTTTTTCTTAAAAAGTGAAGTTTAATTCATGTGAAGGTGGATCAGTGAGCACAGCAGTCAATATAAGTAGGCATGATCTAGTAAAAAAAAGGTCAACCTGTGTGTCTTCAGGTCATCATGGCTCCACCAAGTAGTAGTGTGCCCTATATTACAGGACAATGAACCACAACATTCCACACTGCAATGTAGTTCATTTACAGTGCCTTGAAAAAGTATTCATACCCCTTGAAATTTTCCACATTTTGTCATTTTACTACCAAAAATGTAAAAGTATTTTATTAGGATTTTATGGGATAGACCAACACAAAGTGCACATGATTGTGAAGTGGAAGGAAAATTATCAATGGTTTTCAAATTTTTTTACAAATATCTGAAAAGTGTGACGTGCAGATGTATTCAGCATCCTTTTACTCTCATACCCCTTACTAAAATCTAGTGGAACCAATTGCCTTCAGAATTCACCTAATTAGTAAATAGAGGCCACCTGTGTGTAATTTAATCTCAGCATAAATACAGCTTTTCTGTGAAGCCCTCAGAGGTTTGTTAGAGAACATTAGTGAACAAACTGCATCATGAAGGCCAAGGAACACACCAGACAGGTCAGAGATAAAATTGTGAAGAATTTTATTGTAGGGCTAGGTTATAACAATTAATACAAGCTTTGAACATCTCCCAGAGCACTGTTCAATCCATCATCTGAAAATGGAAAGAGTATGGCACAACTGCAAACCTACCAAGACATGGCTGTCCACCTAAATTGACAGGTCGGGCAAGGAGAGCATTAATCAGAGAAGCAACCAAGAGGCCCATGGTACCTCTGGAGGAGCTGCAGTGATCCATAGCTTAGGTGGAAGAATCTGTCCACAGGGCAACTATTAGTTGTGCACTCTACAAATCTGGCCTTTATGGAAGAATGGCAAGAAGAAAGCCATTGTTGAAACAAAACCATAAGAAGTCCTGTTTGCAGTTTGCGAGAAGCCATGTGGGGGACACAGCAAACATGTGGAAGAAGGTGCTCTGGTCAGATGAGACCAAAATTGAACTTTTTGGCCTAAAAGCAAAGCGCAATGTATTGTGGAAAACTAACACCACTGCATTGAACTACATCACCCTGAACACATCATGCCCACCGTGAAACGTGGTGGCAGCATCATGTTTTGGCAATGCTTTTCTTCAGCAGGGACAGGGAAGCTGAGTTGATGGGAAGATTGGTGGAACTAAATACAGGATAATCTTAGAAGAAAACCTGTTAGAGTCTGCAAAAGCTTTAGAATAGGGAGGAGCCAGCAGGACCACGACCCTAAACATACAGCCAGAGCTACAATGGAATGGTTTAGATCAAAGCATCATGTGTTAGAATGGCCCAGTCAAAGTTCAGACCGAAATCCAATTGAGACTCTATGGCAAGACTCGAAAATTGCTGTTCACAGACACTCTCCATCCTTCTGACAGAGCTTGAGCTATTTTGCAAAGAAAAATGGGCAAAAATTTCACTCTGTAGATGTGTAAAGCTGGTAGAGACATACCCAAGAAGACTTGCAGTTGTAATTGCAGCAAAAGGTGGTTCTATAAAGTATTAACTCAGGAGGCTGAATACAAATGCACGACACACTCTTCAGATATTTATTTGTAAAAAATTTTTGAAAACCATTTAGCATTTTCTTTCCACTTTACAATTATGTGCCACTTTGTGTTGGTCTATCACATAAAATGCATTTATGTTTTTGGTAGTAACATAACAAAATGTGGAAAATTTCACAGAGTATGAATATTTTTTCAAGGCACTGTAATTGACCTAAAGTATTTATATGTCTATTATGATTTTACCATGCTAAAGTGAAATTAACAGTTGTTCATGGTGTTAGTAAATGTGTAAGGGTTGCAATTGAATGTGCCACAATACAATTTTGCACTGTGCATAGAACTGTAATAGGGCCATGGATCAAATATTGGGAAACTTATATGAATCATTCCATGTGAAGTAATGAATTTGTGAGTAAATAATGCAAGCTAATAAAATAAATCTGCTAAAAATCCTTTGCTTGCCTAAATGTGTTTTTTCCCAGCGTTATTTGGGGAACACAGTAGACAAGTAGGTATATTTGCCTGAGATAGACACTTAGACACTTAGATATCCTCCTACACAGGCAGTCTTCTCCAGGTGTACCACTTGACTGTTTCAGATAGCCGTCCAGTTTCTGCAGATTTGCTTCCTTCTGCTGATTCCTTCCCTATAGTCCCCAGGCTCTTCTGTCTTTGTGACCATTGCTTAGTATTTTAAGGAGCACATCTCTCCACACCGTGCTGCTGGTTCAAGATTGAAGATATAAATGCTATGCTGTAGACAAAGTCACACCAGGCTCCTAAACCTTGGAGTTTCACTAAAGCCTTTGCAGATCATTTGCTCTAGGGCAGTGATCGGCAAGCCGCGGCTCGCGAGCCACATGCGGCTCTTACACACGTTAATGCGGCTCTTCTGTGGGCCGGGCACCCGCTCCCCCTCCCTCCCTCCTCTCGGGCGGCCGCCCCAAAAGTCAGGACTCTGCAGCTAGCCCAGCAATGGGCAAACTACGGTCCGCGGGCCGTATACGGCCCAGCGAACCTTTTAATCCGGCCCGCGGAGCGTGGCAAACATTGGCTTGTCAGGATGTAGGCGGGACAGCGTGACGAACTCCTCTCCTCTCACAGTCCGCCCTGAAGACCGGAACGGCGCGGGAACACGGCGAGAAGAACGCGCGGAGCAAAGGTAAGTGAATTGACACAATATGGGGAATGAATTACTATATGGGGGATGAATTACTATATGGGGGGATGAATTACTATATGGGGGGATGAATTACTATATGGGGGGATGAATTACTATATGGGGGGATGAATTACTATATGGGGGATGAATTACTATATGGGGGATGAATTACTATGGGGGATGAATTACTATATGGGGGATGTATTTTCAGTTTTAAAAATGTGGCTCTCAAAATAAATTTCAATCGTGGCTTTGGCAAGATTTGGCTCAGTTGAAAAAAAAGGTTGCCCACCACTGCTCTAGGGCTACATAGTACATAGGCCTAGTAGCCTAAAGTCCAATTTAAAGGCCAGAAGGGTATTACTTTTCTGTTTAACATTTGTTTGCACAGCAAAATTTCAGACTGTTGTGTTTCAGACTCGGGGGCTGTGGCAAGTGATCTACCTCTGTTTTGGGCTCCTGTTTATTTTAAACAGTCCATATATCTTAGAATAGGAAGAATGGGCAGCACAGTAGCTAAATGGTTAGCACTTCCGCCTGGCAGTACTAGGGTCGTTGGTTCGAATCCCAGCCATTGCACCTCCTGCCTGGAGTTTGCATGTTCTCCCTGTGCCTGCGTGGGTTTCCTCCGGGTACTCCGGTTTCCTCCCACACTCCAAAGACATGCTGGTAGGTTAATTGGATCCTGTCTAAATTGGCCATTGTATGTGAATGTGAGTTAGGGACCTTAGATTGTATGCCCCTTGAGGGTTAGGGACTTATGTGAATGTACTATATATATATATATATATATATAATGTATATATATATATAAATGTGTGTGTGTGTGTGTGTATGTAAAGCACTGCGTAAATTGACGGCGCTATAAAAGTACCTGAAATAAATAATGGAAGTTGCCATGGTGATGATGACTTTGACAGTATATTAATTATTCTCTCTGTGTGCATTGAAACACCAGCATTGCTAATGGTCAGGTAGACTCAGTATGACCCACTAAGACCCCTTTCTGAAAGGTGTGGCAGTGGCAAAAGTCGATCTCGATCACAGTGCCTAACCCCCATCCTGAAAGGGTTCTGGTTTGGCTCATTGGGAAACTAGAC